AGTAGCAGCCTGATGTGGATGATCGATCGGTAAGTATTTCTGATTTATCTCATTACTTCGATGAAAATGTTCTAATGCTAAATCGTATTGTTTTTCCTGTCGATATACGACACCCAAATTATGATAACAGCATGCGATATTTGGGTGATCATTAGTCGACGTATCTAATGCTAATTGAAAATATTTTAAAGCTAATTGGTTGTTTCTTTTACGCATATGAATTTCACCAATGTAATTATAAGTGTAAGCGAGACTTTCACGATCAGAAGGAAGTTGAATTGATAATGCTTGATGATGATAATCCAACGCTATATCAAGATATCCTTTCGATCGGTTGATTAAACCAAGACCATGATAACAGAGTGGCTCATTATCATTGAGTAATTGTTCTTGATAATAGTTTTCAGCTAGATCAAATTCACACATTTGCCACAACAGTTTTCCCAATGCATGTTTATTATTCAAAATTTCCATTCTCATCGAATTGTATACAGGTTTCAATTCTAGCTCATTCCCCTTACATAAAACTAATTGAACGATCCAAATATTCAATTCAACATCGTGATCGATAGCAACAATTCGAAATATCGATCCGATCATGAACAAGACTTCTTCTTCAGAATCGAAGTAACTGTGCTCTGTTATATTTGCATAGGGCTTTGTTATAGGTGAATGAGTAATTTCTATTTCGAAAAGAACAGTTTGATAATTGTGATCAATTTCGCTATCACACACAATAAAACCGCGGGCTTGTTCACGATTAAGACTTGTTGATAGGAAACTGTTCATCGATATAAGTTCACCTATATTCGATTTCACACGATGTAATTCATCCGATGACATTCGTTGACCTCGATAAACATATTGTAGATGATGATGATCTAGTTCCTGCTGTTGGTGTTGCAGTTGCTTCAACTGTTCATAAATATCCTGTATTAAGAATTGAAATTTAATTAATAAGCCAATATTCTGCTAGCGAAGTAAACGATTCAGAAAACGATAGATGAAACAATCTCTTGTATAGCATCTGATCGATGAAATTCATCGATTCGCCGTTGTTCAATCACATCATCGTGATATTCTTGTTTACAAAGGACCCCGCCGGATTTCCATGGGAAATCCGCCCCTTTCAAAATTAAACTATTTTATCATAGATAGATAGAGTATTGTTGGACACATTCGAAATCTGTTCTCGATTCTCAAGAGTCGCTTGTCTTTGGTGAGAAAATCAATTTTTTCCGACAAGGTCTCTAACATGAAGTAATTCCAATTAAAAATGTACTGTAGTTTCTATGGTAAAAATTTGGTTGAAAAAGGTTTTGTCCTTTCAGAGATATTGCAGCAACAAGTTCGGTGACTCTATGATTTTTGCATTGAACCTGTCGAATAAAGTAGACGATCTCGGAGCAGGTAGTCCCGAGTGATTTTTCTTGGACAGATTATCTAAGTTCAGATTCCTAATTATGATTCCAGGTAGTACTCGTAGTGTATTATATTTGTGATAAATAACTCAAGATTCTAATTGACGAGCGTGGAGAAAAATGTTTTTCAAAATCGCATCAAGCGCGTATGTTAAGGATGCTTTGCAGTATGATTAAGTATTGATTTCTTAAAAGTGAAAGATGACAAAGAGATGAAATTTTGATAATAATATAATATACTATGTTTCTCATCTAACCACATAATAATAATAGACATTAATCATTAAATTTCAGAAATATGAAGCTGAAAACGTTAGTGCGAATGACGTCTTCTTCGCATCTGTACTGGCATTTATTATTTGGAAACTTGACATCACTTATTAAATACTTTTCGTAAGAAACGTACTGCCTATTTGCTAATATTAATACAGAAGTCTTATATGCAATATTTACTTTGATA